TTCTGTGTGCATGTGTTGCCTGTGTTTGTTGGGGAAAACAGAGGCTTTTAAAAAAATATATGTAATAAGAGCAGGCACTCATGGAGTAACAACTTCACCCTGTACCTGACACCGTACGTTAGTTTGTGTTGTCGCTTTTTAAGCTCACCCCATTTATAAATATCTGGAGGTTTGGTAGCCCCCCCCCCCGTTGCCTCAGTCCTTCCCTTTTCGAAGCCTCAAGAGGGAAGGTACATGGCAAAAACCTTGAAAACCACAATCATCCGAGTTTGCTCCCTTCCCACAGGTCTCTCATGCAAGGTTTGTCCGCCAACACCCACCTCAGCGAGCTGCACCTGGATCTGAGCGGATGTGAGGTAAAATTTAAGATGTGTGAGGAATTATCCAGCGTGTAAACCGTTTTTTTTTTTTTGCACATCTGTCCCACGATCAGCCCCTGAGCGCTTCCACGCTCAAATAAACGATTTCGCCCCTTCGCCGCTCTCCTTTGGGCAAATATAATTGGTCTGCATATGCTGCTAGTCCTCAAGATGCGGCCACTCGTTTAGCAGCCGTTTGGCGCTGAGGGAAGCAACTGACCGCTGATCCTTGCGCTTCAACGCCGTCGCGTGTATGCAGGTGGCGACCGCGTCACACGTGTGATAGTTGCAGCCTCCCTAAGTTGTGTCATTCCCCTTTGTGAGTTTCCCCACCGGCTTCCCACAGGTAATGACTACGGGAAAGCAGTCAGGGAAGGTCCCAAGTTGCGGTCACATGATGTCTCACTTAATGACCGCCGTGATTTATTTATGAATTGTAGTACAGGTAAAGTCCTTGACTTACAACGGTTTGTTCAGTGACCTTCGAAGTTACAACGGCATTGAAAAAAGTGACCTGTGACCAGTTTTTCCACACTTAAAAAAGTGTCATTGTTTCACTTAACAACGGTGTTACTAATTTAACAACTGCAGGGACTCAGTTTGGAGGCAAGAAAGGTCGTAAAATGGGGCAAAATTCACTTAGCAAATGTCTCGCTTAGCGACAGAAATTTGGGGCTCAGTTGTGGTCGTAAGTCGAGGACCTACCTTATTTCATTTCTATCATTTGTTTTTTTTTTTAATATTGTAAGATGGGTGGCCAATCAATTGGACAGATAAAGGGAGAGAAGGGGGGAGGCAGGGAGGGAGGGAGAGAAGGAAGAAAGGAAAGAAGAAGGGAGGGAGGGAGAGAAGGAAGGAAAGAAGGAAAGAAGGAACAAAGGAAGAAGGAAGGGAAAGGGGGAGGGAGGGAGTGAAGGGAGGGAGGAAGGAAGGGGGAGAGGGAGGGAGGGAGAGAAGGAAAGAAGGAAGTGAGGGAGGGAGAGAAGGGAGGAAGGAAGGGAGGGAGGGAAGGAGGAAAAAAGGAAGGGAGGGAGGGAGGAAGGAAGGAAGGAATGAGGAAAGGAAAGAAGGAAGTTTATATGCCACTCATTTCCTGACCCAAAGTGACTCTGGCCAGCTTGATTTGTTTAACAACCACAGCAAAAACTGATATCGGTTTGTAAACTTCCTGTTAAGGTTTCCGGTTTTATATTCCATCTGCGTCTGGTCCTTTAACCCCGTGTTCCTTTTTTTTTACTGAAATAGGATGTGAAGGTGCCGTACGGTAAATAAATCGATCCTCTTTTATTTTTGTCCTCCTATCCTAGCTACGTTCTCCGGGAGCTCAAGTGCTTCAAGAACAAATGCCCGGGATCAGCGCCTTGAGCGGTCTCAATATTTCGGATAACGGTGAGTCGGAAATTCGCTTCGGACGTAAGTTCTGAGGAAGGAAGGGTAGAATCAGAGAATTACGGCGGCGTCCAGTGTCCAACCGTCTAGTTACAACATGCAGGGAGATTATAGGGAGTCCTCGACTTACGACCAAATTCGGAATCGGAAAGTTCATTTACCGGTAAGTCCTTGACTTACGACCACGACGGAGCCCGAAATTTCTGCCGCTAAGCGAGGCGGTTGTTAAGTGAGTTTTTGCCCCGTTTTACGCCCTTTCGAGTCACTGCCATTAAGTGAGTCCTGCGGTCGTTAAGTGAATCCATCTAGTTTAATGAAGAGAAGGACGAGGGGGGAAATTTTGTATTATATTGTATTATTGTTTTTAAGCTGGCTGTAAGCCGCCCTGAGTCCTCCGGGAGAAGGGCGGGGTATAAATTTAATAAAACTAAACTAAAACTAAACTAAACAGTGTTCCAGTATCTCAGGGGCTGCCCCAAAGAAAAGGGAGTCAAGCTATTCTCCAAGGTGCCTGAAGGCAGGACAAGAAGCAACGGGTGGAAACTAATCAAGGAGAGAAGCAACCTAGAACTAAGGAGAAACTTCCTGACAGTTAGAACAATTAACCAGTGGAACAACCTGCCTCCAGAAGCGGTGAACACTGGAAGTTTTAAAGAAGAGACTGGACAGCTATTTCTCTGAAATGGTATAGGGTTTCCTGCCTGAGCAGGGGGTTGGACTAGATGACCTCCAAGGTCCTTCCAACATTATTATTATTGTTGTTGTTGTTGTTGTTATTATTATTATTACCTTTATTTGCATAGGCAACAATCACATAACAAAAAGAAGCTGCAAGGAAATAAACCGTGTTCTTCCCGACGTGATCGGCTTGCTATTTTCTCGTTCCCTCAGGCTTCGACACGGATTTAATCACCTTGCTCCCGGCGCTGAGTAAGAACAAATCTTTGAAACATCTCTGGCTTGGAAAGAATTTCAACGTCAAATCCCGGTGAGCGTTTGCGTGGAACAGGGACCATTTTTCTGCGCCCAGTGATGCTAAGGCTTTTTGAGCTGGGCCATGATCTAATTCAGGGGGTCTTCAAACTTGGGCCTTTTAGGACTTGTGGACTTCAACTCCCTGAATTCCTCAGCCAGCGTACCTGGCTGAGGAATTCTGGGAGTTGAAATCCACAAGTCCTAAAAGGGCCAAGTTTGAAGACCCCTGATCTAATTTGTAACAAACCAGCCATTAAAGCAGTGTTTCACAACCTCAGCAACTTTATAAGACGCCTGGACTTCAACTCCCAGAATTCCCCAGCCAGCAAAGTTGGGAATTCTGGGAGCTGAAGTCCACACATCTTAAAGTTGTTGAGGTTGAAGAACACTGATCTAAAGGGAAGGAGGTTAAATGCTCTTTCATCTTTGGCCATTCACGTTCCCTTCCAGTAATTTCTGAGGGAAAATTTAGGGGTTTCTGGTGGTCTCTTTTTCCTTTTTCCAAGGAACTAAAAATAGCTAAAACTAACCACCTAAAAGGGACCTCAGTTCCTGATGATTTCAACAAACAAACCCCTGTTCTTTTTAGGGTAAGATTCCTCCAGACTGTGAGTCCCTGTCTCGTTTACCTCACTAGGATTTCCTAGTGGTGTCCCATCCTCGTATTACAAGCAGTCCTCAACTTAAAACAATTTGTTTGGTGACTGTTCAAAGTTACAACGGCACTGAAAAAGTAACTTATGACCATTTTCACACTTAACAACCATTGCAGCATCTCCCATGGTTACAGAACGTAAGTGGAGGACTGCCTTGTAACGAGCGCAATTCGTTCCCAGCTCCAAACATGAGGAGGAAGAGGACGGGGATATTGAGGACAATGTAATGTTGATAAGTGCATTTTTAAAATCTTTTTATGCCAGGACTCTGGAAGAAATTCTCCAGAAGATAGTGCAGTTTATCCAAGAAGAAGACTGCGTAAGTTCTTGGCTGTACAAAGCGTATTTCTGTAGAATTATCAATTATTACTATTATCGTTATTTTCCCAAAAATAAAACCGGGTCTTATGTATTAATTTTTGCGCCAAAAGACCCATTAGGGCTTATTTTCAAGTGATGCCTTATTTTTTTCCCCCACGTGCAACAATCTACATTTATCCAAAGAAGTAACGTCAATAATATTATTTACTTATATTTAATTAGATATGAATATTAGCATTTTATCATTCAATACGTCCGTCATGCGTTGCGATGTATCCGTCTGGCTGACGAACTTAACTGGGGCTTATTTTGGGGGTGGGGCGGACATTACGAGCATCCTGGAAAAATTAACCAGTGGAACAACCTGCCTCCAGAAGCTGTGAATGCTCCAACGCTGGAAGTTTTTAAGAAGAGACTGGACAGCCATTTGTCCGAAATGGTATAGGCTTTCCTGCCTGAGCAGGGGGTTGGACTAGATGACCTCCAAGGTCCCTTCCAACTTTTTATTATTATGGATCATCGCACAGTCAGCCAGATGTTCAGACTGGATTTGGCATTTTGTCTACCCATCGAGTCCTTACCCAGGACCTGGGATAGGCAGATATGGATGTTTGATGGTATTACAGATATTGTCGCAGGATGGAAGCAGTTCCTAGCAAGGCCGCCTTTTGCAATTGACTAAGGGCGAATTTGTCAATGCCAATGGTGTTCAAGTGGTGCTCCAGTTGTTTTGGGATTGCACCCAAGGCGCCTATTACTATTGGTACTACCCTTGCTTGCTTTTGCCACAGTCTTTCTATTTCTATTTGTAGGTCTTTGTATTTTGTGATCTTCTCCAGTTCTTTCTCGTCTATTCTGCTGTCTCCAGGCACTGCCACGTCCACTATCCAGACTTTTTTTGTCTTTCTTATCGACAATTGTTAAGTCCGGGGTGTTATGTGGCAGGGGCTTGTCTGTTTGAATTCTGAAGTCCCAGAGCAGTTTAATTTTATCATTTTCTATGACTTTCTCTATTTTATGATCCCACCAGTTCTGGCTTGCAGGCAAATGATATTTCTTGCAGATCTTCCAATCCACCGTTGTTGCTACTTTGTCACGCCGTTGCTTGTAGTCAGTCTGTGCGATCTTCTTGCAGCGGCTTACCAGGTGGTCCACTGTTTCTTCAGCTTCTTTGCATAGGCGGCACTTACTGTCTGTTGCCGTCTTCTCAATTTTGACTTTATATGCATTTGTCCTTAAGGCTTGGTCTTGTGCAGCCAGAATTAGTCCCTCGGTCTCTTTCTTCAATTTTCCTGCTCTTAGCCATTACCATTATTATTATTATTATTATTATTATTATTATTATTATTATTATTATTATTATTATTATTATTATTATATCATGCTAGGGCTTATTTTACAGTTGGGTCTTATTTTCGGGGAAATACGGCACTTACAAGGCTTTTGAATTGTTCCGAGCAAACAATTGAAGGTGGTTCTAGTGATGGTTGTTGCTGGAGTGAAGGGAAGGGGTAGAATCTGGTTGTTGTTTTTTAGGGGATTCAAATTGGCTGCTCAGCCTCCCCCCTTCTCTCCTCCTCCTCTCCCCCCCAAAAGTCCTTACAGTCTTTCTCGGTGGCCGATTCCCGGCTGAAAAGCCGCTGCAGCATCCTGATCAACGCTCTGGGGAGCAACACCTGCTTAACCAAAGTGGACCTGAGTGGAAACAGCATGGAAGATCTCGGGGCCAAGATGTTGTCCAAAGCTCTGCAGATCAACAGCACGCTCAGGTAGGTTCGGAAGACCTGCAGAACTTCGAGAGTTAGGTCAATGCCCGTGGGCAGAAGCCCCAAAGATGGAGGCTGGCGACGAGAGGACACAACTGAGGCATGGAATGGAATGGAATGGAATGGAATAGAATAGAATAGAATAGAATAGAATAGAATAGAATAGAATAAGAAATAAGAATAGGAAATAAGAATAGAAATAAGGAATAGAATAGAGATAAGGAATAGAATAGAGATAAGGAATAGAATAGAATAGAATAGAACAGAACAGAATAGAACAGAACAGAATTAGAAATAATAGAATGGAATGGAATGGAATAGAATAGAATAGAATAGAATAAGAAATTAGAAATAAGAATAGAATAGAAATAAGGAATAGAATAGAGATAAGGAATAGAATAGAATAGAATAGAACAGAACAGAATAGAACAGAACAGAATTAGAAATAATAGAATGGAATGGAATGGAATAGAATAGAATAGAATAGAATAAGAAATTAGAAATAAGAATAGAATAGAAATAAGGAATAGAATAGAGATAAGGAATAGAATAGAACAGAACAGAACAGAATTAAAAATAAGAATAGAATAGAATAGAATAGAAATAAGAAATAAGAATAGAACAGAATTAGAAATAAGAATAGAATGGAATAGAAATAAGGAATAGAATAGAATAGAAATAAGGAATAGAATAGAATAATAAAATACAGAATAGAGTGGAATAGAACAGAACAGAATAATAAAATATAGAACAGAACAGAACAGAATAACTTTATTGTCACTTTGAATGAACACCAATCAGCATACATTAAAATGAAATTTCGTTGCATTCAGCTCTCAGAGGGTCACCACTAAACCAGACTGTCTTTCTCCTTTGTAGGAGCATTTCTTGGGACAGGAACGGGACCACCGCCCAAGGCTTCCAGGACATCGCCCGGGCCTTGGAGAAGTGAGTGAGCAGGAAGGTCCACCTGGAGAGAGAATCAATCGATCAGAATAGAGCTGGAAGGGACCTTGGCGGTCTTCTAGCCCAACCCCTCGTTCAAGCAGGAGACCCTATATATCATGTCAGATAGATGGCTGTCCAATCTTTTCTTAAAAACCTCCATCTTTGGGACAGATTTTTCGGATTGTGTTCTTTTTCAGCAACTACACACTCAAGTTTATGGCTTTGCCCATGAGTGACATCACCACGGCCTACCGCAATGCCCCCGACAGGACGGACGAGATCTGGCAAAAGGTGAGCCCACGGCCAGCGATCTGGCATTATTAAATAATTAACCAGTGGAACAACCTGCCTCCAGAAGTTGTGAATGCTCCAACACTGGAGATTTTTAAGAAGAGACTGGACAGCCATTTCTCTGGAATGGTATATAGGGTTTCCTGCCTGAGCAGGGGGTTGGACTAGATGACCTCCATGGTCCCTTCCAACTCCTATTCTATTCTATTCTGTTCTATTCTATTCTATTCTGTAATTCTATTCTATTCTGTAATTCTATTCTATTCTATTCTGTAATTCTATTCTGTAATTCTATTCGGTATTCTGTAATTCTATTCGGTATTCTGTAATTCTGTTCTATTCATTATTATTCTACTCTATTCTGTATTCTATTTTATTGTATCCATTATTACTCTACTCTACTCTACTCTACTCTACTCTACTCTACTCTACTCTACTCTACTCTACTCTACTCTACTCTACTCTACTCTACTCTGTATTCTATTTTATTCTGTCCATTATTATTCTGTTCTGTTCTGTTCTAATTTCTATTCTATTCTATTCTATTCTTATTCCATTCTTATTTCTATTCTATTCTATTCTGTAATTCTATTCTATTCTATTCTGTAATTCTATTCTGTAATTCTATTCTGTAATTCTATTCTGTAATTCTATTCGGTATTCTGTAATTCTATTGTATTCTGTAATTCTGTTCTATTCATTATTATTCTACTCTACTTTACTCTGTATTCTATTTTATTCGATCCATTATTACTCTACTCTACTCTGTTCTGTTCTGTTCTGTCCTATCCTATCCATTATTATTCCACTCTACTCTACTCTACTCTACTCTCTACTCTACTCTACTCTACTCTACTCTGTATTCTATTTTATTCTGTCCATTATTATTCTGTTCTGTTCTAATTTCTATTCTATTCTATTCTATTCTATTCTATTCTATTCTATTCTATTCTATTCTATTCTATTCTATTCTACCTTCTCCTCCCTTCTCAGATCCAGTGGTGTCTGCTGCGAAACAACCACTCTTCAAAGATCTCTCAGGACCAAGCTTTCCGTCTCCATCAAGGAATCGTCACCCATAGCGCCGAGCAAGTAAACGTTCCCATCTCCCTGGACCTCCTTCTCCCGCCCATCCTTAACGTCACGGGGCCTTTGCAGGGGGACGCAAGAGCGGGTGGGGCTCGGGGTGGCCCGAAAGACTCCGAGATGTCCTGATGGTATTCATGGGGAGAGACCCATCAGAGGATTTTCAGGTCCAGGGTGGTGAGATTTAACATTCTCCCATCCTGTCCATCGCTAGATGATGAGCCGGCTTTGTGTGCGGGTTCAGGAGGAATTACGGGTCCTGCGAACGTGCTCCGTCCAGGATTCTGTCCAGGAGGAAGTCCTTTATGCCCGGAAGTTGATGAAAGAAGCCAAGAATTCCAGAGCGGTAAGATAAACCGTTTTCCTTAAGCAGATAGTTCTTGATTTGCAACCATTCGTTTACAACGAATTTACAACAGCACTGAAAAAAAGTAACTTCAAACCATTCCTCGTACTTAACGACCGATTTTAAGAAGAGATTGGATAGCGTTGGTCTGAAATAACATAGGGTCTCCAGCTTGAGCAGGGGGTTGGACTAGAAGACCTCCAAAGTCCCTTCCAACTCTTATTCTATAATCTGGTGACTTCAGACGTGGTGGACTTCAACTCCCAGAATTCATAGGGTCACCCATTCTCAGATCCCACGAATAGGGGAGGGGGGAATTGTTTGGTTGGTGGATTGATTGGCCGATTAAATACCATTCAGTTGGTGTTGACTCTCACCAACTGTAGAGGTAGACCTTCCTCAACCTACCTGGCCTTTTTAGGTCTTCCAACGTTATTGTCGTCATCAAGGAAAAATAGCCGAATCATCTCTGAAACCTTGTTCCTCTTAAGCAGTGTTTCTCAACCTCAACAACTTTAGGAAGGGTAGACTTCAATTTTAAGAAAGGTGGAGTTCAATTTTAAGAAGGGTGGTCCAAGTTTAAGAAGGGTAGACTTCAATTTTAAGAAAGGTGGAGTTCAATTTTAAGAAGGGTGGGGCAAGTTTAAGAAGGGTAGACTTCAATTTTAAGAAAGGTGGAGTTCAATTTTAAGAAGGGTGGACCAAGTTTAAGAAGGAAACTCTTCAAGTTTAAGAAAGATGTTCAGTTTTAAGAAAGGTGGACCAAGTTTTAGAAGGGTAGACGTCAAGTTTAAGAAGAGTGGACTTCAAGTTTAAGAAGGATAGATTTCAATTTTAAGAAAGATGGAGTTCAGGTTTAAGAAGAGTGGATCAAGTTTAAGAAGGGTGGAGTTCAAATTTAGGAAGAGTGGACTTCACGTTTAAGAAGGGTGGACGAAGTTTAAGGGTGGACTTCATTGTTAACAAAAATAGGCCAAATTTCAGAAGTTTAAACTTCAAGTTTAAGTTTAAGAAGGATGGACCAAGTTTCAGAAGGATGGACCAGGTTTCAGAAGGATGGACCAAGTTTAAGAAGGATGGACCAAGTTTAAGGAGATGGACTTCAAGTTTCAGAAGGGTGGACCAAGTTTCAGAAGGATGGACCAAGTTTCAGAAGCATAGACTTCAACTTAAGACGGGTGGACTTCAACTCCCAGAATTCCCCAGCCAACAGAGATGGCTGGGGACTTCTTGAAGTTGAGGTCTACCCTTCTTAAAGATGCTAAGTTTGAGGACCTCTACTCTTAATCATTGTTTCTCATCTCTTTCCTACAGCTCTTTCCCAGCCTGTACGAACTTGGGCACCTCTTGGCCACTGATGGGCCCGTGCGGCACCGCCTGGAGTCCATGGCCAACGAAGTGGCCAAAGCCGTCGACAAGGAACTGCAGGTGAAGAAGACACCACAATCACCTCTCACACATTCATGCTATTTATGGTGACAGGTCCTCCTGATGGGAAATCCTAGGCTGTTAGGTCTTGGGAATTTGAGTGTCCAAATCAAGAGCGTCTTTGGTGGGTGTGAAGAACTCAAGATGACCCTCTCGATTTCCTTGCTCGCCCTCTTCCGACAACCCTGATTCGTGGTTTCTCTTTCTGCCAGATGATCTTGGAATCTATGGTTGATCTAACGCAGGAGTTGTGTCCACATGCCGTCCAGGCCGCTGAAGAACATCACAAGATGTTGGCAGCTGTTTCGGAGCATATCAGCCTGCCCCGAAACTTTATCCGAGGGGCTTTGCTGGAACAGGCTGGCCAGGACATCCAGAACAAGCTCAAGTAAGAATTGGGGTGTAGATTAAAAAAAAAAGGGGGGGGGGGTAGGGAGAGCTTATAAGAGCCGTGGTGTCACTGTGGTTAGAATGCAGAATTGCAGGCTGATTCTGCCGACTGTCAGGAGCTCAATTCTCATCGGCTCAAGGTTGACTCGGCCTTCCATCCTTCCAAGATCAGTAAAATGAGGACCCAGATTGTTGGGGGCGGGGAGGGGGGCAACAGCTGTGGAGCATTCACAGCTTCTGGAGGCAGGTTGTTCCACTGGTTAATTGTTCTAACCGTCAGAAAGTTTCTCCTTAGTTCTAGGTTGCTTCTCTCCCCGATTAGTTTCCATCCGTTGCTTCTTGTCCTGCCTTCAGGCGCTTTGGAGAATAGCTTGACTCCCTCTTCTTTGGGGCAGCCCCTGAGATACTGGAACACTGCTATCATGTCCCCCCTCCTCCTTCTCTTCGTTAAACTAGACATACCCAATTCCAGCAACCATTCCTTGTATGTTTCAGCCTCCAGTCCCCTGATCCTCTTTGTTGCTCTTCTCTGCACTCTTTCTAGAGTCTCAGCATCTTTTTTACATCATGGTGACCAAAAGTGGATGCCGTATTCCAAGTGTGGCCTTCCTTCCTTCCTTCCTTCCTTCCTTCCTTCCTTCCTTCCTTCCTNTGGTATTTATATAGTTAAACCAGCAACTGGGAAAGAGGGAGGAGCATAAGGATAGCCCGGGAGAAAGAAACCGGAAGTAAATCACATCTTCCAAGTTGATTGGAAGATGTGAACCATGACCCTACAATAAGGGAGTGGGAAATGCTTGGAATGTATATGCGTAACGGAAGAGAAGCCAGACCTAAGCATTTCCACCATGTTGTACTGACGTCTCTGTAACCTTAATAAATGCTTTTAGGAAAAAATATGCCTGAAAGTCCTTTTAAGTGTTTCGTTAATCAGACACATGACAGTTGACTCAGCTTTCCATCCTTCCGAGGTCGGTAAAACGAGGATCCAGATTGTTGGGGGGGTCAATAGGCTGACTCTAACCTGCTCAGAGAGGGCTATAAAGCACTCGGAAGCAGTATATAAGTAGTTGCTACGACTACTATATCAGTGGCGGAGACGGGTTCCAGATCAAGGTAATAACCATGTGAGCGTGTCACCTTGAGCATCAGAAAACAAGCAGGGTATTTCAAGGAGGTCTAAGGGAGGCATGATCGCGTCTTCCAATATTTGAGGGGGCTGTCACAAGAAGAGGAAGGGCCAACCTATTCTCCAAAGCACCAGAAGGCAAGACAAGAAATAATATGGATGGAAATTGATCAAGGAGAGAAGCAACCTAGAACTAAGGAGAAATTTCCTGACAGTGAGAACAATTAACCAGTGGAACCACCTGCCCCTAGAAGCTGTGGGTGCTCCAACATTGGAGGTTTTTAAGAAGAGATTGGGCAGCCATTTGTCAGAAAAGGTATAAGGCAGGGGTAGGCAACCTTGGCTCTTTTATGACTCGTGGACTTCAACTCCCAGAATTCCTGAGCCAGCCATGCTGAGGGGAAAGGGAGAGGTTTCCATGCTGAGCCATGCTGGCTCAGGAATTCTGGGAGTTGAAGTCCACGAGTCATGAGGGGGCCAAAGTTTCCCTCATGCTGGCTGAGGAATTCTGGGAGTTGAAGTCCACGAGTCATGAGGGGGCCAAAGTTTCCCTCATGCTGGCTCAGGAATTCTGGGAGTTGAAGTCCACGAGTCGTAAAAGAGCCAAGGTTGCCTACCCCTGGTATAGGGTCTCCTGCTTGAGCAGGGGGCTGGACTAGAAGACCTCCAGGGTCCCTTCCAGCTCTGTGGATTGTGTTGTTTTGTTATTCACCCTCTGATGTTCTTCCGCCTGGATTCTTCCCTAGTGAAGTGAAGCTCTCCGTCGTGACGTATCTCACCAACACCATTGTGGAGGAACTTCTGGAGGAGTTGTACTACGCTCACAAGAACCTGGTGAGGATGATCTGAGCCATATCCCTCACTTCCGTGTCATTACTTCAATTCCCATTTGGGGCCTGGTGCCTCAGCATTTCAGAATCCCCCCGTTGATCTTGGTTTGGAGTCGGGAAGCTAAGCAGGGTTGGACCTGGTTGGTAACTGGATGGGAGACATGAGAAGAAGTCCCGGTATTGGCAGCAGAACCCCTGGACACAGGTAGTCCTCGGCTTATGACCGCAGCGGAGCAGAACGTTTCTCCTGCTTAGCGAGACTTTTGTCAAGTGAGCGTGGCCCCGATTTATGACCGTTCTTGCCACAGCGAATCCCTGCAGTTTTTAAGTTAATAGCATGGTTCCTCATAGACTTGGCGTGTCAGAAGGTCGCAAAAGGGGATCACATGACCCCGGGGATGCTGCGACCGTCGTAAATATGAGCCAGATGCCAAGTGTCCGAATTTTGATCATCTGACCATGAGGACGTGGCTACAGTCGTAAGGGTGGGAAAACGGTCATAAGTCACTTTTTTCAGCGCCGTTGTAATTTCAAACGGTCACTAAACAAACTGTTGTAAGCCGAGGACTACATACATACATACATACATACATACATACATACATACATACATACCAGTACATACATACATACATACATACATGTAGTGTACACACACACACACACACACACACTGGTGGGATTCAAATATCTAAACAACTGGTTCTCTGCGTGGATGCAGGCCTGGGTCTCTGAGGTCTAGAACAGACTTCCGGAAGTGGCATCCATGCACTTTATATATACAGTAGTGGCCAAAATTGTGGAAACCTTTTGGGAAAAGTGCATTTTTGAGGTTGGATGGCTAATAACACCCCTTTGTTTTAGTAGTACCATAAAATTACATATCAATGGAAAGATAATTTAATCAAGAACGTAATGCAACCAAGTCTGTTCAATTATCTGTACTGTATTCTATGAAAAGTTATAGCCAAATAACCAGAAAAAAGAAGCACAACTTGCTTAGGTTGATCTCAGGTAGCTTCCCTTCATCTGATGGTAGCCAATGAGCACGAGTGTTTAGAGAACCAATCAGGTGTCGTCTTGTTTTGGCCATGAGCCGGTCAGATCACAGTAGGATCCAGTTATTGATGTCCTGTATTTAAGCTGAGAGGAGGACATTTGTCAGTGTGTTATGGGATCGCTGTCGAGTTGGTTGGTTTTTTTTGTGTTCTTTCATTTAGTGAGCTTGTAAAACATAATAAAATTAAAGTAACGGTGCAAAGAGTTGACTGGTCACCCAGAAAGCGATGTAAAATAGTATTATTAAGTGAACAAGACTACAGTTATAAAGAAATGAGAAGAAAAACGGGTGGAAACTTAACCAAAGGTGGCATTTCTATTAACACTTTTCCCAAAAGTTTTCCACAATTTTGGACACTACGGTACATATTTAAACCACCCCCTTGTGTTTAGCACTGGTACTGCAGACCTGTTATCAGGGTGATCCCAAGCTGATAGCCTCCATCTTCCTTCTTTCCTCCTTCCAACCCCAGGCTCAGCACATCACCCATCTCCACCGACTTTCGGACGGTCAGGATAGCGTGATCCTTCCCGAACATCCGGGGAAACCCCAACTCCAGGGACCGAAAGAGTTCACCGACCACGAGCTGGATTCCAACATCGTAAGTGGTTCCGACTTAACTCAGGCGGGATCCCCGGTTTTTGCAAGTCCTGCCCTTGTGCAGACTTTAAAATAGAATAGAGCTGGAAGGGACCTTGGAGGTCTTCTAGTCCAGCCCCCTGTTCGAGCAGGAAAACCTATACCAGTTCAGACAAGCGACTGTCCAGTCTCTTCTTAAAAATCTCCAGTGATGGAGCGCCCTCGATTTCTGGTGGTGAGCTGTTCTACTGGTTAATTGTCCTCGGTGTCAGGAAGTTTCTCCTTAATTCCAGGTGGCTTGCTGTTCCACTGGTTAAGCGTTAAGTTGAAGCGTGACCGACATGTTTCTCTCGTTGGCTCTGGGTGGGCTCCTATTTAAATGGACAACCGCTTCAATACAAACCAGCTGTGTGCGGTGGCAGCAAAAACAGCCAACACAATCTTAGGCTGCATTAATAGAAGGATAGAATCAGGATCACATGAAGTGTTAATACTGCTTTATAAAGCCTTGTGGTAAGGCCACATTTGGAATACGGCATCCAGTTTTGGTCACCACAATACAAAAAAGATGTTAAGACTCTGGAAACAATGCAGAGAAGAGCAACAAAGATGATCACGGGACTGGAGGCTAAAACATACAAAGAACGGTTGCTGGAATTGGGGATGTCTAGTTTAATGAAGAGAAGGATGAGGGGAGACATGATTGCAGTCTTCCAATATCTCAGGGGCTGCCCCAAAGAAGAGGGAGTCAATCTATTCTCCAAAGCACTTGAAGGCAGGACAAGAAGCAACGGATGGAAAATAATCAAGGAGAGAAGCAACCTGGAATTAAGGAGAAACTTCCTGACAGTGAGAACAATTAACCAGTGGAACAACCTGCCTCCAGAAGTTGTGAATGCTCCAACACTGGAGATTTTTAAGAAGAGACTGGACAGCCATTTGTCTGAAATGGTATAGGGTCTTCTGCCTGAGCAGGGGGTTGGACTAGAAGACCTCCCAGGTCCCTTCCAGCACTGTTATTCTGTGTTCTCTCCTGCAGGACACCATGGCGATCAAAAGACAGAAGAACTGCCGCAGGATCAGGCCAGCTTCTGCCTTCATTAGTGAGTGTAACAACGACTTTCGTAGCCACTGTTCTTTAATCCAGAGAAGTTGGGCTCCACTTAGAATTGTTTGCTTAGCGACCGAAGTTTCAACATCACTGAAAAAAGTGACTTAGGACCGCTTTCCACACTTACATCCCCATGGTCACTTAATCAAAATTCAAACGCTTGGCAACTGGCATGTACTTAGGACGGTTGCAGGGTTTTAGGCTCCTGTGATCCCCTTTTATGAACTTCTGACAAGCCAAGTCAGTGGGGGGAAGCCGGATTCACTTAACCACCGTGTTGACTAACTTAACAACTGCAGAGATTTACTTAACTGCTGAAATTGTGGGCGCCTTTGTGGTCGTAAATTGATGGTTACCTTAAAGAAGCTGTAAAATATTGCAATTAATCTTGGTCAGAGTTATCCTAATTGGTTTCCGGTAATTTCTGAGGGGAAATTTAGGAGTTTCTGGTGGTCTCTTTTTCCTTTTTCCAAGAAACTAAAGTTAGCTAAAACTAACCACCTAAAAGGGACCTCGGTTCCTGATTATTTCAACAAACACACCCCTGTTCTTGTTAGGGTAAGATTCCTCCAGACTGTGGCCCCGTCTCATTTACCTCACTAGGATTTCCTAGTGGTGTCCCATCCTTGTATTACAAGCAGTCCGCGACTTAAAACAATTCGTTTAGTGATCGTTCAAAGTTACAACGGCACTGAAAAACGTGACGTGACTGTTTTTCACACTTAACAACCGTTGTAGTATGCCCACAGTCATGTGATCAAAATTCCAACACTTGGCATCATATTTATGACTGTTGCAGCGTCCCAGGGGCATCACATGATCCCCTTTTGCAACCTTCTGACGAGCAACGTCAACCGGGAAGCCGGAATTCACTTCACGATCGTTTGACTAATTTAACAACTAGCGTGATTCCCTTCACAACGGTGGCAAGAAAGGTCGCAAAATGGGGGCCGAGCTCACTTCACAAATATTTCACTTAGTGACAGAAATGTTCTGCTCAGGGGTGGTCGTAAGTCAAGGACTGTCTGTATCCGGGCAACGAAAAAGGGTTTTGAGCTTAAAACAGCCCTTTTCAGCACAAATCCCTCAATTTTTTTCTCTTTGGCTGAAAACGGCCAAAACTACCCATTGGATATGCTGGATTCGCTCAATGGGATTCACTGAAATGACCGTCGTAAAATGGAGTCCAGCCACATGATGCCTCAACTTAGGACTGCGATGACTTAACGACTTCTCTCCGCTTGCAGGTGGATCGGAACAGGACACTGACCTCACGACTGCTAATATGAGCTCACCTCTGGGGTGGATCGCTCTCGTGGGCAACACTCCCTATCCCTATTCGCACAGCGCCTCCTTCGATGGGTTTTGTGATCTGCCCACAGACGGGACTCGGCTTGAGCACCGGACGTGCGGCAGACCCCGGCCGCCTTGTTCGACCCGCTTCCGCTCCAGCGTGAGTACCAAAGTATCTCTTTCCTCCTTCTCCTGCCTGACCACGTGAAGGATTAATAGTCCCAAAGGTGCTTTTTTTCAGGAGGCACCTGGACTTCCTTGTTTTTCTTTGAAGACGTTTCACTTCTCATAAAAGAAGCTTCTTCAACTCTGAGTGGAGGGTGGGGAAATGGAAGGATTTATACTCTTTGCAGACAGCTGGTCATTTGCATTCTTTTAGAGAGTCATTGAGGCCATTTGGAGGTTTATCTGTGTCTTCAGTTGTCCAAAGGTGCTTTTTTTCACAAGGCAATCGGACTTTGTTTTTTCGTTGAAAACATTTCACTTCTCATCCCAGAAGCTTCTTCAGCTCTACTGGATGGTGGGGAATGGAAGGATTTATACTCCTTGCGGACAGCTGGTCATTTGCCTCCTTTTAGAGAGTCGTTGAGGCCACTTGGAGGTTTGTTTGTGTCCTAAGGATCCCCTGAGTGGTGCAAATGGTTGTGGAGTGTGTGAAAGCTTCCTGTAGCCAAAGAACGTAGCCCTCAACGTAGTCATTCCATATGTTGTAGGAATATGGGAAAAGCTCAAGAGGATCTTCAGCCAACACAACACACATGCACACTTCAAACCCACCAATACACTAAGGCAGAAGCTTGTCCACCCCCAAGGATAAAACACCCAGACACAAACTGAGCAATGTGGTATATGTAGTACAATGCAGTGACCCATGTGCAGATCACTTTGAGAGCAGGCAACTAAATTTCATTTTTGATGTGTGTCGTGCCCGCAGTAAAAAAGGACAATAAAGTTTATCTTATCTTATCTTATCTTATCTTATCTTATCTTATCTTATCTTATCTTATCTTATCTTATCTTATCTATCTTATCTTATCTTATCTTATCTTATCTTATCTTATCTTATCTTACCTTATCATCTTCGCCTTGCCTTGCCTTGCCTTGCCTTCTCTTACCTCACCTCACCTCACCTCACCTCACCTCATCATCTTATCTTATCTTATCTTATCATCTTATCTTATCTTATCTTATCTTATCTTATCTTATCTTATCTTATCTTATCTTATCTTCTTGCCTCGCCTCACCTCACCTCACCTTATCTTATCTTATCTTATCTTATCTTATCTTCGCCTTGCCTTGCCTTGCCTTCTCTTACCTCACCTCACCTCACCTTACCTTACCTTACCTTACCTTACCTTATCTTATCTTCTTGCCTCACCTCACCTTATCTTATCTTATCTTATCTTCACCTTGCCTTGCCTTGCCTTGCCTTGCCTTCTCTTACCTCACCTCACCTCACCTTACCTTACCTTACCTTATCTTATCTTCTTGCCTCACCTCACCTCACCTCACCTTATCTTATCTTATCTTATCTTCACCTTGCCTTGCCTTGCCTTGCCTTGCCTTCTCTTACCTTACCTCACCTCACCTCACCTTACCTTACTTTACCTTATCTTATCCTCTTACCTTATCTTACCTTACCTTACCTTACCTTATTTTATCTTATCTTATTTTATCTTATCTTCTTGCCTCGCCTCGCCTCGCCTCGCCTCGCCTCACCTCACCTCACCTCATCTTATCTTATCTATCTTATCTTATCTTATCTTATCTTATCTTATCTTATCTTATCTTATCTTATCTTATCTTATCTTATCTTATCTTATATCTTATCTTATCTTATCTTATCTTATCTTATCTTATCTTATCTTATCTTATCTTCGCTTTGCCTTGCCTTCTCTTACCTTACCTTACCTCACCTCACCTTACCTTACCTTACTTTACCTTATCTTATCCTACCTTATCTTACCTTACCTTACCTTACCTTACCTTACCTTACCTTATCTTCTTTTCTCGCCTCGCCTCGCCTCGCCTCATCTCATCTCATCTCATCTCATCTCATCTCATCTCATCTCATCTCATCTCATCTTATCTTATCTTATCTTATCTTAAAACAACCACTTCACAAACAGAGGGCACACCACAGGAAAACAAACCCATCAGGACAAGATTCAGCCGTCCATCTGCCTTTAGAAGACCAAGGCCGCTCTTTCGAAGACAGCAAAGTCCACATTCTGGACAGAGAGGACCGCTGGTTTGAACGAGGGGTCCAAGAGGCCATCTAGGTCAAAATTGCACAGCCCTCCCTCAACAGAGGGGGAGGGACACAACACCATCTATCTCCAGTCTACCACACAGTCCTCTCAGCAATCCCAAGAAGGCTGCACACCCATTTGCACCGCTTAGGTGACCCTGAGCATACGGGTAAACCTCCAAGTGGTCTCAACGACTCACTAAAATGATGCAAATGACCAGCTGTCTGGAAGGAGTATAAATCCTCTCATTCCCACCATCCAGTCAAAGCTGAAGAAGCTTCGGAGATGAGAAGCAAAACGTCTTCAAAGAAAAACAAGGAAGTCCAGTGGCCTCGTGAAAAAAGCACCTTTTGGATCTCAATCCAACTACTTTCCAATCTTCCTCCTCTTTTATGTATGGGTTCTCTTTTAATTCCCTCTCCCAGGCCCCACTTAATCTATGGGAAGAATTAACAGGCCCAGGTGTTTTTTTCTTCTTTTCCAGAACCGACTTTTTCGTTCCCTGGAATCCAGAGAACAGGAGAACGGGTTGGTGCCCAGACTGGATGAGGGTCTGGAGGAGTTTTTCAACCGGAGAGTCCTGAGCAACACAATAAGGTGAGCCAAGTACAGTTGATGTCATTCAATTAGGCAAGAAATACCAAATGTACAGGTATAGTATAGGGCAGGGGTAGGCAACCTTGGCTTTTTTATGACTGGTGGACTTCAACTCCCAGAATTCCTGAGCCAGCCATGCTGAGGGGAAATGGAGAGGTTTCCAAGTTGAGCCATGCTGGCTCAGGAATTCTGGGAGTTGAAGTCCACGAGTCATAAAAGAGCCAAGGTTGCCTACTCCTGGTATAGGGGGTACCTTATGCAATAGCAGCAACTGGAAGAGGGATCTTGGAGTCCTAGTGGACAATCCCTTAAATAGGAGCCAGCCGTTTGCTACAGCAGCCAAAAAAGCCAACCCAGTGCTAGGCTGCATTAACAGCAAGGTAGAATCAAGATCACGTGAAGTGTTAATACCACTTTACAAGGCCTTGGTAAGACCACACTTGGAATACGGCATCCAGTTTTGGTCACCACGATGTAAAAAAAAATGTTGAGACTCTAGAAAGAGTGCAGAGAAGAGCAACAAAGAGGATCAGGGGACTGGAGGCTGAAACATACAAAGAACAATTGCAGGAATTGGGTATGTCTAGTTTAACGAAGAGAAGAACGAGGGGGGACATGATAGCAGTGTTCCAATATCTCAGGGGTTGCCCCAAAGAAGAGGGAGTCAAGCTCTTCTCCAAAGCGCCTGAAGGCAGGACAAGAAGCAACGGATGGAAACCACTCAAGGGGAGAAGTGTCCCGGGGGTCACATGATCCCTTTCTGGGCGACCTTCTGCCAAGCAAAATCAACGGGGAAGCCAGATTCACTGAACAACCGTGTCCTGGGGTGGGTGGGAAAGGCTGTAAAACAGGACAAAATTCACTTCACAAATGCCTCACTTAACAAGAGAATTTTGGGTTGTTGTCGTTACCTGTATTTTATTTCTATCATTTGATTTTTTTTAATGTTGTAAGATGGTTGGCTAATAAATTGGACGGATAAAGGGAAGGAGGGAGAGAAGGAAGGAAGGAAGGAAGGAAGGAAGGAAGGAAGGAAGGAAGGAAGGAAGGAAGGAAGGAAGGAAGGAAGGAAGAGGAGGGAGGGAAGTGTCCCACTTAGCCATAGAAATTTTGGGCTGAGTTGTGGTTATAATTTGAAGACTATGTGTGTATCTTACATTTCTCTCCAAAATCACTTTCTGCTCTCTTAGTTCTGCCGTTTCTCTCCCGCCCAGCTATCCTCGGATATCTGACAGCTGTGCAGTACGGCCAGGCCTGTCTGATTCCCTCCCACCTCTACAAAGGAAGAGGAAAAAGGGCCTCTTCCATTTCCGCCGGTACCGCAGCATCAAGGGAGAGCGAGACTCCGACGATCTGCCCCCCAATCCTCCCCCGCCTCCCCTGGGAGGGGAGGACCCGAAGCCCTTGATGTACTCCGTCGCCCACGAGAAAGAGTGGAAACTGGACCAGGACATTGTGGGGGGAACCATGCTGCTTCCGGGAATGGTGACCGCAATAGCGCCTGGAAGCAGGGTCAAAGGCCTCCCAGGCCGTTCCAAACAGGTACAGAAATTTATTTCCGGGGTAAGGGCCGGGATGCGAAGGACCCCCCCTTTTAAATCCCCTTTCCTTCCGAAACAAGATTTCCACTCCTGATTCAGAGAGGGCACCGACGGACGGACGGAGGACCGAGTTCTTACAGCCGTCACGCGTCCAAGGAGTGCCGCTGCCGGGAATGGAACGTGCGAAAGGGTGGAGTCTGGATGCTAAGCTAGAGGTAATTCTCCATCACGGGAAAAAACCCCATGTGAAGAATAAAACTTGCCATTAGAGTAAGAGGGGGTGTCATGCCTCCGTCGGAGCCTGAATCTGTGGAGGAAAATGAGCTGGAACGGGAGGGGTCTGTGGTTTCAGAGGAATGTGGGGAAGAGCAGGCCGAGGCAGGCCAGGGCCCGTCAGGATTGGTACAGGAGGAACAGGAGAGGCAGAGTTCAGGCGATGAGCAAGGGCCACCCCCACCTGATCCTAGAGCACGGAGAGTGGAGAGGAGGGAACAACGCAGGCAGGCTCAACTACTCGGGAGGAGAGCATCCCGCCCCTCTCCACAAGGCACACCTGGAGACTGAGATTTAAGGAGACGCTGTGGGGAGAGGCATTTGTCGGGAACAAACGCTGATTCTATGGAGTTGTGTGTGTATGTGTTGTTGTTGCTGATCTCTTGTTCTGTGACTTCTGCTTGGAAACCCGGACACTCTGACCATTGGACTGGCTGACAACATGGCTTGGATGTTCAAAGATCTCGGACTGTATTTTGGCTTCCCTTCTGAAACTGCTCAGGCAAGCGTGTATTCACCCAGACTCATTAGGTTTACGATGTATGCATCATTCCTTGTTATCTCCGTGGCCTTGAGTAAATTCCTCTCCTAATCAGACTGTATGTGAAACTGCTTGCAGCCAGAGGCGGCTGAAGGTGTGTGTGTGTGTGTGTGTCTTCCTTTGTTTGGAGGCTTGCCAGAAACGTGGGAGTGTTTGGGGAAAATTTGGAGCAATTAAAGGGCAGTTTGAATTGCCAGCTGACTGCGTTGCCTCTGTGCTGTGCCCCGGGTCATCACAGGGTGTGTGTGTGTGTTGCTTTAGAATGGATTACATCAGGGATATCAAACTGCCGGCCCGTGGGCCGGATGTGTCACGTGGAAGCCACGCCCACCCCAGCTCCAGCAAGGGGGAGAAAAGTCACGATACATCGCGACACATCACGTGACGCGGCGAGTTTGACAGCCCCGGGTTAGATGGAGAAACGAAACCTCTATGATTCTGCTGAAGACCCATGAGAGAGCCTGAAACCTCTCCAAGGACACCGCAGCAGGTGTGGAGAGGAAGCAGACGGTTCCCGTAACAAAGTGAAATGGTTTACATGGGCTACGTGAGAGGAGAAATTGTTGTTTAATTCTATGAACTGGTGTCTGGGAACCTCGGAGTTAGTTTCGTTTCGACATTGCCGTGCAGTGTATTCAATAAACAGGAAGATTTTCAGAAACGGAAAGAAGCCGGAGTTTGGTTTGGATTCACGAGCTGGATGTTGACACCAACGGTGTTATCCTCCTCCTCCTCCTCCTCCTCCTTTTTAAGAAGAGACTGGACAGCCATTGGTCTGAAATGGCATAAGGTCTCCTGCTTGAGCAGGGGGTTGGACTAGAAGACCTCCAGGGTCCCTCCCAGCTCTGTGGTTCTGTTATTCTTGTCCGTGGTGTGCAGTTCATCATCTTTCTTCCTTGGTTAGACCGTTGAAATGGAACAAAGGACGGGAAGTTTACGGGAGCAGCAGAGAAGGCGATCCTCCGATGACACAGGTGGGCAGATTTATCCAACCTTCTTGGCTCGTTTCCCCCTCTCCTCGCATCTATGACTCTGGAAGCACCATGTGGTCCAAGGAAGCTCTTCTGAAGCATGGGTGACTTCCAGGGGTCTGCGGCTTAAAGTCACGCAGGTCAAAAGAGGAAGGGCTATCCGAAAGGACCTCCTTCCTAAAAGTACTATTGGATTTATTTATTTATTTATTTATTTATTAGATTATTTTTTTTTTTTAAATCTTGCCTTTATGACTTTATAAGTAAATCAAGGTGGTGAAACTACTTCGTACACCTTCCTGCTCCCGTTTTCCCCATAACGATAACCCTGTGAGGTGGGTTGGGCTTAGAGAGAGGGACTGGCCCAAAGTCACCTAGCTGGCTTTCATGCCTAGAACTCCCAGTCTCCTGGTGATTGGGCCAAAGTCACCCAGCGGGCTTTCGTGCCTAAGGCGGGACTAGAACTCTCAGTCTCCTGGTGATTGGCCCAAAGTCACCCAGCGGGCTTTCATGCCTAAGGCAGGACTAGAACTTCCAGTCTCCTGGTGATTGGCCCAAAGTCACCCAGCCGGCTTTCATGCTTAAGGCGGGACTAGAACTCCCAGTCTCCTGATGATTGGCCCAAAGTCACCCAGCCGGCTTTCATGCCTAAGGCAGGACTAGAACTCCCAGTCTCCTGGTGATTGGCCCACCCAGCCAGCTTTCATGCCTAAGGGGAGACTAGAACTCACCATCTTCTGATGATTGGTTCAAAGTCACCCAGCCGGCTTTCATGCCTAAGGTGGGACTAGAACTCACCATCTCCTGGTGATTGGCCCAAAGTCATCCAGCCTAAGGCAGGATTGGAACTCCCCGTCTCCTGATTTCTAAGACAGTGTGTGATATTGATGGATTGTTGTTGTTTTTTAAACCCACCTAGGGCAAAGAGGATGGAGGCCTCACCCTCCCCTGCAGAGCACTAAGCCAAGTTTTGCCACCATTCGGCGGGCAGAAGCCAGCTGGGATATAGGTGGGTAGACGTTCCTAGAATGGCCCGAAGTTAAGGCAAGTGGACTTCAACTCCCAGAATTCCCCAGCCAGCAACGCTGGGAGTTGAAGTCCACTTGCCTTAACTTCGCCGATGGGATGAGTACTATGCATTGAGCTATGCACGGGGACGAGTTTATATGACAGAAACATCTTTTGAGCCTGGTAAATGAGGTGGCTGCTTTAATAATCCAGAAGTGAATCAGAATACAGCTGGAAGGGACCTTGGAGGTCTCCTAGTCCAGCCCCCTGCTCAAGCAGGAGACCCTATAGGTTCTCCTGCTTGAGCAGGGGGCTGGACTAGAAGGCCTCCAAGGTCCCTTCCGGCTCTATTCTATTCTATTCTATTCTATTCTATTCTATTCTATTCTATTCTATTCTATTCTATAATACAAGGCATTGCTGGGAGATTTCGGTTTGCACCGTTAGTGATTACCTACACTATACAAAGCACATTACAAATAGTTACAGCCATTTGTTTAGTGACCGTTCGGAGTTGCAACGGCCCTGAGAAAAGTGACCTGTGACGGTTTTTCACACTTACGACCGTTGCAGCATCCTCGTAGTCACGTCATTAAAATTTAGACGTTTGGCAACTGGCATGTCTTTCTGATGGCTGCAGTGTCCCTGACAAGCAAAGTCAATGGGGGAAGCCAGATTCGCTTCACAACTGTGTTACTAACTTAACAACTGCAGTGATTCACTTAACAACCCTGGCAAAGAAAGGTCGTAAAATGAGACGAAAGTCGCCGAACACCTGTCTTGCTTAACAACAGGAATCTGGGGCTTGCAAAAGAGGATCCCATGACCCCAGGACACTGCAACTGTCATAGATACGAATGACGTTTCACTTCTCACCCAAGAAGCTTCTTCATCTCTGGCTGGATGGTGGGGAAATGGAAGGATTTATACTCCTTTGCAGTCATTTGGTCATTTGCATTCTTTTAGAGAGTCGTTGAGGCCACTTGGAGGTTTACCTGTGTCCTCAGGGTCACCTGAATGGTGCAAATGGGCATGGAGCCTTCTTGGAACTGCTGAAAGGAGTTCCAAGAAGGCTTCACACTCATTTGCACCATTCAGATGATCCCAACATCACAGATAAACCTCCAAGTGGTCTCAACGACTCTCTAAAAGAAGGCAAATGATCAGCTTTCTGCAAAGGAGTATAAATCCTTCCATTCCCCACCATCCAGTCGGAGCTGAAGAAGCTTCTTGGGTGAGAAGCGAAACATCTTCAAAGAAAAAAACAAGAAAGTCCAGTTGCCTCCTGAAAAAAGCACCTTTGGGATAACCAGGATCTGGATGACGGAGAATCTCCATAGATGTTTAAATACGAATCAATTGCCAAGCGTCTGAATTTCGACCACATGACCATGGGGGAACACTGCAAATGTCTTAAGTGTGAGAACGGTCATAAAATCACTTTTCTGCAGTGCCGTTATATCTTCGAACGCTCACGAACCAAATTTAGGTCGGGGACTATCTGCAGTTTGAATGAATTGAATTAATTCCTGGCAGTTGATGGATCCTTTGTTCGTCTTCTCCCAAACCTGCAGCTGAAGAGAGCACGTCCCGGGAGAGTGGGGGCAAAAGCAACCTGCGAGACCACCCCCTGGAAGAAAAGCCGCCGGGGGCCGACGAGAGGGGCGTGATGGGGGGCACACCAAATTCCGAGAAGGACCGACTGACGGCACCACCCGGTGCAAAACAACAGGTCTTTTTGAATTCAAGGGGCAGGAGAAAGCTTGTTTTGGGGCTGGGGGCTTCTGGGTGAAGGACTGGGGAGTGACCACAGTTGAGACAGGAACTACCAGTGCAAAGCAAGGCATTTGTTAAGGGAGTTGTGTCCAATTTTACAATCTTTTTTGGCACGGTCATTAAGGGGATCATCCCAGTAAGTGACTCATACAGTCGTTAAAGCGAATCCAGCTTCCCTTGACTTTGCCACCTGTGAAGGTCAGGAATGGCGATCTAGTGACCCCCCCAGGATGCTTTAACTGTTGTATGTATATCCTGGTTTTGATCACGTGACCACAACAGGGAGGATGGTTGTAACTGTGAGGACAGGTCGTAAGTCACTTTTTTCAGCACCGTCATCCCTTCGAACGGTCACTGAATGAATGGTTTATGGCTGGCTGGGGAATTCTGGGAGTTGAAGTCCTCACAGGTTGCCCAGGTTAAGAAACATTGGAGGTTGAAAACTACCATTCCCAGCATTTCATGAGTCCTGCTGGCTAGGTTTGCTGGGAATTGTAGTCCAGCAGCAGCCGGAAGCTTCTTCTGAGAAATTTCTATTTCCCCCCCCTCTCCTTTCGTATCTCCACATCCGCCCTCTTGGTTTTACAGCAATTCAGGGATCACTCTTCCACTCCTCGCCCTCCCAAGCCGGTTGCCCTCCCCAGGGGCCGGAAGACCCCCAGCCAGCCGGAAAGAAGTCGCAGCAACGAGGAAGGCAGTGTATCTGGTGGAGCCATTCTAGAAGATTCCTGCACCTTTCCTCCCGTCGCTCAACCCCGACGTAGACCGAAGGAGCAGGAAAACGAAGGTGAAGAGACACCGAGGCCTTAAGACAAAGGTCTCGGTTTATCTCACGCAGATCCTGGATTAATCGGTACAAGAATTCCAAAAGGAAGGAGTTTTTGCTTTGGGATAATAGCATTTTCTCTGGGGCACAGGTAGTCCTCAAACATACGACTGCAATTGATCCCGAAATTTCTGTTGTGTGAAATACTTGTTAGGTGAGTTTTGCCCCACTTTTACGACCTTTCTCGCTACACTCGTTAAGAGAACCACTGGAGTTGATAAGTTAGTAACCTGGTTGTTAATCCTATCTGGCTTCCCCCATTGACTTTGCTCGTTAGACGGTCGCAGAAGGGGATCACGTGACCTTGGGACACAGCAAAGGTCATTAACATCTCAATTTTGATCACATGATCACGGGGACGCTGCAGAGGTCATCCCTATGAAAAAACTGTCATAAGTCACATTTTTCAGTGCCTTTGTAAGTTTGAACAGTCACTAAATGAATTGTTGTATGTTATATGCAAGGGTGTAGGTATATACATATGTTGCATATAGCATGTTTATATTTATGTTGTGTATATGTACACTTTTGAGAGCAAGCAACAGAATTTCATTTTTAATGTGTGCCAGTGTGCCCACAGTAAAAAATGACAATAAAGGTTATCTTTAGCTTACTATTTGCAAGTCAAAGAGTATCTTGTGTTATTTATTAAACACTTATTTAAACCTTTGCAGCAGGAGGCAGCAAAGAGCTACAGAGAAAAAAATATGAATGCTCTGCTGCCCTCTAGTGGCCCCTGGAATTTATTATTATTATTCGTTTTAACAGTCCAGAGAGGGTCACCTTAACCAACAAATTCTTTCTGGGGCTCAGGACTCTCTGATGCTCCTCTTTCCATTCCAGGGGAACCCGAGGTTGGGCGAAAAATGGCGCCTCTCAAACCAAAGAGAACACGGCGGGCACAGTCCTGCGACAAGCTAGAGTCCGATCGGGGACGGAACCCGGGATCTGGAGGTATGGCAGAGCTGGCATTCCCATGCTCGTGGGATTCAGAAGGTGGGAGGGACCTTTGGAGAGAGGAGCAGCGAAGCGGTAGAGAAGGAGGGACAGAAACTGGGGGCGGAGTCAAAAGAGGAATCAGCCTAGAATCTCTACATCAGGAGTCCCCAACCTGTAGCGCACTACCGGCCGTGGTCTGCTGGCCACCGGGCCGCGGCACAGGCTGGCCAGTGCGCCCACTCATCCCCACTTGTGCTAGTGCCACGGCCGCACAGCCTAAATGGGGCTCCGTGTGGCATAAATGGGGCTCTGTGTGGCCTAAAATGGAGCTTGTGCAGCCTAAATGGCGCTCCACGTGGCCTGTGGGACTGCGCAGCCTAAAACAGGGCTCTGCACAGCCTTAGGGCTCCGTGTGGCCTAAAATGGGGCTCCGTGTGGCCTAAAATGGGCTCCGCATGGCCTAAAATGGGGCTCCGCGCAGCCTAAATGGGGCTCCATGTGGCCTAAATGGGGCTCCGTGCAACCTAAAATGGGGCTCCCCGCAGCCTAAATGGGGCTCCACGTGGCCTAAATGGGGCTCTGTGTGACCTAAAATGGGGCTCCATGTGGCCTGCAGGGCTCTGTGCAGCCTAAATGGGGCTCCACGTGGCCTGTGGGGCTCTGTGCAGCCTAAAATGGGGCTCCACGCAGCCTAAATGGGGCTCCGCGCGGCCTAAAATGGGGCTCCGTGTGGCCTAAATGGGGCTCCGCGTGGCCTAAATGGGGCTCCATGGCCTAAATGGGGCTCTGCGCAGACTAAAACGGGGCTCCACGCAGCCTGAATGGGGCTCCGTGTGGCCTGTGGGGCTCCGCACGGCCTAAAATGGGGCTCCGCACGGCCTAAAATGGGGCTCCGTGTGGCCTAAAATGGGGCTCTGCATGGCCTAAACTTGGTTCCACGTGGCCTAAACGGGGCTCCGCACAGCAAAAACGGGGCACCGTGTGGCGTGCAGCAAAAACAGGGCAGTGTTAGTGCCCACATGGCAGAAATGGGGCAGGGCTAGCCAGTGTCATGTGCGCACTAGCGCCGCCCCATTTGCGTGGCACGCAGGCACATAAAATGCTTCCCCTTCCCTTTCTCTGTGGTCCTCCAACCGAGAAACTTTGGGGACCTCTGCTCTACATAGCCCCAAATGAACTAAGTCAAACCCCCTTGAATGTTCGTGGATCCTTAACTAATTCCAACCTAACCGTTAGCTGGGAAGATTCCTGCGCATGGGCTTTCAGCAATAAAGCAGTTAAATTGTAGCTTGGCATGGGGATATGATCTTTGGCGCCTGACAAAAGCCACTTGCAAGAAACAAACTGGGTTGAACTGGGATGGGTGGTGCAGGCTTGCTGGTGAAGGAAAAAGCCCTCGGTGCACGCTCTCCTTTGTCCAGGTGGTCCTCCACTTACAGCCATTCGTTTAGTGACCATGCAAAGTTACAGTGGGAAAAAAAGGGACGTGTGACCCCTTTTCCACACTTACGACCACTGGCAGAATCTCCACGGTCACGCGATCAAAATTTGGAAGCTTGGAACATATTTATAACGGCCACCGTGTCCCGGGGTCATACAATCCCCCTTTGTGACCTTCTGACAATGGGGGAAGCCGAATCGGCTTAACAACTGTGCGGCTAACTCAACAACTGCAGCAATTCACTTAACGGCCATGGGAAGAAAAGTTGCAAAACGGGGCAAAATTCGCTTAGCAGCCGTTTGGTCTAGCCGTAGAAATTTTGGTCGTAAGTCGGGGACTAACTGTTTTACCTTGCCCTGTTGCAACTTTGTGAAACTCTGTGAATCTTTTGTCACACTTGGTGAAACTTTTGTCAAACTTCGTGTAACTTATTCCCGGGGAAGTCGGAAAGACGAGGTTCACCAGGAAAGCCGCCGGCTCACGCGTGGAATCCCGCAGCGATTGAAGCGGCGAGGTTTCGGTGTCGTGACCCTCCTCTTGAACCCAGTTCCCCCTCCCCCCCGGCTAACACTCTCTCTCTCTCTCTCTCTCTCTCTCTCTCTCTCTCTCTCTCTCTCTC